TAACCTTTTTATCTGAATGAAGTTAATTTCCTTATTCCTCAATGAAGTTTTGGCTGGTTCAACCTAATAAAGATTAATCACTCAGTTTCCACTTTTACATACTTATCAACAGCATATTGGTGACAGAGACGCTAACATATTAAGATGTGATTGACCTTCACTTCTCCAACCATAAGCCTGTATGGATAGTAATTCATTTAATTAACTTTTTTTTTTAGTTTCAGAACCTAAAAACATTTTTTTGTGATAAAATTGTATAAATTACTTAAAGCTATGATAAACATTAAAAACTTAAATTTCTTATTTACCTGTAACTGGATTTATCATCTTCATTAAAAATAATACCCATCTTCACCTTTCCAAATAAAATAAAATATATTTATATATGTTCGATGTGTTTCGGACACATGCTGCAGTTGATTGTTACACCAGTGTAAAACAATATTGCTGTTATCCACATTTTCACCCACAATCACAATAGCGACTTCATCAATTCTTTGGGCATTAAAATGTCTTATATGTTTTTTATAACAATTTTGTGATTATCAGATGTCATGTGATCTAATGCGGTCTTAAATAATGCAACCAATTGTTGGTTGTGGTGATGGAATAATAATTAGAGCTGTTCCACAACTGGTCTTTTCACAGAATAGTTGTGTGCACAACGCTGATCAACTTGTCTTCCTGAATCGCCCATGAAATTAATTTGGAAAAATTTTTGGTCACTGACCGGCACTGGTAATAACTAATAAGTTCAATGATATATTTGTCCTTGAATCTGCAAAGGTAAACATTCCTGTATTACATATACATATTGTAAAGTGAATTGTTCAGACCACCAAGTGACACTCAAAATACTTTGTGAGCACTACCACTTCCCCCCTCAACTTTTTTAACACAATTCCTTCTGGCTACCAAAAGTAATTCACAGAGCTACAAATGTACTTTAAGCCATTTCTAATGATACATCATTACAATTGAAAACTGTCAACAATAGTGGTAAATGTTTTTTAATACACTTACGTTGAAAGTTGACATAAAATTTATTTCTGTTATAATCAAATGCAGCTCTATAGAGGTTAAAAGCAACACTTCTATATTGTTGGTTTCGGTTCCATCGATTCCGTTCAAATTCATTCCGCGTTTCACGTTGCTCATCAGTTAGACTTGCTCTTCTATATCTAATATCTTTGATTTGAGGCATTACGGGTTCTGCGACTTAAGTTTGTACGTCTAATTGCCGGCATGTTTTGAAACAAAACTTCAACTGAAAATAAAAAATACTATTATTCTATTCCTATGCTTTTGTAATAGTATCAAAATGGTCTATCAAAACTTTCCAACACTATAATAATTTGGCTTTACCTTGTTGGACAAACACTTCAGAAAAAAACACACAGTACAAATTATCTTGTAGAAAACTGAATGTCAAAGTTACACTAAGAAATGGTAAATGAATTATGTAGGTATTTTGTTATTATAACTCCGGCCACAAATAGTGAAACTGAATATGTACTCGTACAAAACCACACAAAAAAAAACAAATTTACTGTTTTGCAAACAATTTCAAAGAATAACTGATTACTGAACTTTTAAGACTGAGACAATAGTTTATCATAGACTAATAACACAAACGACAAGCTCAGCTTATGTATGGCGCATTTAAAAGTAAGTAATTTTAATCATGTAAAATGTAAATCATAAATATTAACAAAAAAAAATCAGTTCTATTTTCATTGTAGTGCTTTGTGATAAACGATGTTTTTTGTTTGATTACCTGGCGCATAGACAAACAAATCTGATGGTTATTATTATATTTTGTGACTACCTATTCAATTGGTCGGGTCCGCGATCACTTTTTTTAGTTTCTGAACTCGACATTAAATGCTCCAACGACGTATTCTGTATTCCAACGCACACCCGCACACTGTTTTGATAGATATGATTGAATTTGAACTTTGTGTAGCTGTAAGAAAGTGCAAATTTAGGAATTTTGACTTTAGGGAAACACCTGCATTTCTTAGATAACAGTGAGAGCTTGTAATCGAATATGATAATTGAACATAATAGCAATAAAGCTCAAATTGATTCGACGTTTTAGTTAGAAAACGTTTGTATGTGAGAAGGAAAAGGGTTGTTTTTAGGGTTTTCCCGGAAATTATTAGGTTTTTTCTCGCCGAAAGAACCATCCTTGGACTTCAACGAACATTTAAAAAAAAGAATTGGCCAAATTGGTTCAGGCGTTGTTGAGTTATGCGCTTACCAAGACATTTTGCTATTCATTTTTATATTATAGAAGATATATTTAATTTTTATTGTTAAATGACTATCTTATTGTGGTGTACACTAAGGTATATTATTATTACATTAGGTATGTATTTAATGTTCACTCTATAAGCAGCATCTTACAAAACCTTTTATTGTATGAGTTTTTACACAACGGAGCGTTCAAGTATTACGTAACGCAATTTTGGGGGCGGGAGGGGGTGTCTCTTACAAAACGTTACGTAGCATTGTTTCTAAAAAAAATATTAATAAAAACCCCCAAACTGGCAACTCTTTTCATATTCATTACATTGTTGACCAGATTGTATGTATTAGTCTGGTCGATATTTTTATTTGTTATTCCAAGTTTGCAAACCTCTTAATTGATATTTTACGGGGAATACCTAGATTGCATTGTAAGTCTTGTGATGAAATTGATCACTTGAGTGTTACGTAACGTTTTGAGAAGGCGGGGTGGGGGGGGTGGGGCTACAGAAAAACGTTTCTGTGCGTTACGACGGGGTAGGGGGGGTCAAAAATCTTCGAAAATTGCGTTACGTAATACTTGAACGCTCCCCAACATACTAATCTTTCCTGTGAACAGCACGAGGTGGCGCCAGTAGCGGCATGGGTGGAGTAGTGGATATGATTGACTGAATATAGAAATAAAACTACACAGGGTTTTAATAGAGTTCAACACTTAGATCTATTAATTAATAAAAACACAAAGAATACATCCACAATAATTATAATTCATTTCAATTCAACAATAATAATGTTCTATATGATAAATGAGGTTTATATAAACATTATAAATGAAAACAGTTCAAGGTACATTATAACAAAAACTTTCAGTGTCCTCTTGTGGCATAATGAATACTATTCCATTAAAAACTACTTATTCTAGAGGAAAAAGTATGATAAGCATAATTAGTACATCCAGAAAAAAAACATTTAAGATGACTTATGTTTTATCAGATTATAAATAACAATAAAACATTAGAAAAGCACATCAAATAGTGACTAGTGAATAGTTGACTGGGTTTAACAAAATACTATGGACCAAAAGATATTACATATAAAACTTGTACTGTTAAAGATATTGTTTGTCAAGTCTAAATTCAATGTAAAGGAACGAAGTCGCAGATAAGTTGTAGATCGGCTGCTAGGCCGACTGTGGGTGGTTACGCGGGTACATTAGGGGCCTAGGGTACCTGAGGGGTTTTCCGGCCTAAATCGCACTCGTTCGTAAAACCCGGTGCTGTATTACGCCTTTATTTAGCCATTGGCTACCCAAGCGTTGGTTTCCAGAGATGCAGCAGGGTTGAGAGCCGACTCACGGACTTTTTTGGGAAAAAACTTATCTTGGTAAAATTATGAGTAACAAAGAAACAAAGCAAGAATTTATAAAATACTCTGTCCGTACAGGACGCAGCTGGGCTGCTCCACCGTAGCCGAATCCCTCGTACAATCTGACGTGTCGTGATGGCCTAGGCACTTTACTCAGCGCGGGCGTGCGGAGCAGAACCTCTGCCCATATAACTGGCAGTTCGGTGTCATTGCCCCGGGGCGCCGCAGTTCCGCGGTGGCTCTATTGTCAGTCTGGATATCTGACATACTGAGGCTATATTGAATATCTTCTTACCTTCCGGGGTAAGCGACAGGTGGACTAGCACCATATCGAACGAGACCCTTTATGACCACTGTTAATGAGCATGAAGATCGTAAAAATAGCCAATGAGAGGAATAAAACAAGAGGATGATTGCACCATTAGATTTAGAGAAATTTATTTGTAAATTTAATTTAAATATTTATTGTAATTTGATAATGTTTCATTTAAGTTATTCATTAATGTTAATTTTATTGTTCCAATTTAGTCTAATTATTCAAATTTAATTTTAATTGTATACAAAATTTTTAATTACTGTGATATTAGTTTATGTTTTTAATTTTAATGTATTAATTTATGACTTATATTTATTATTGAATTTTATTTAATTTATATTTTAATTGTATTATTTTATATTATTATTAGAATTTAATGTAATTGGGATTAATGCTAAATGGGAATGATGTTATAATTGAACTAAATAAAGAAATAAAGAGTGTGATAAACTCCCCCGCGACCCAATGAAAATAGAAATATAAAAATAATAGAAGTAAGATAGGTAAGTAGGAGGTACACAATGAGCAGAAAGTATGAAAGTGTTGAATGAAGGAAGGAAAAAGTATGCGGAATGAAAGGCCCTAACGAATGAGAGAACTGGAATGAAAGAGTAGCTATTATGTAAACAAAGTCTCTGACCACGTCGGAGGGAGCTGTAAAAAGAAAAAAAAATAAAGAAAACCCCTGTTAACTACGCTCCTCCGGGAGGGCGTAGGTGTGGTATTTTAATTGATTATTCCTGAGCATCGCGGACAATGCACGATGGTTAGTTAGAGTAGCGGTGACTTTAATCCCCGCTGAGGTATTCCGGGCCGATACGTATTTAATTTTCTTGTCATTTAGTCAGCTGGAATAGACGATCCAGCTTTTGTTTGTCCTAATATATAGAGGCCGTGGGTATCGAGTTTTAGTGGGTACGGACCCAGGTAACGGTACGGACCCGTATGTGCGCGCTCAGCTGCACCGGTAGCTGCGGGTGTAGTATTTTTTTTTGTTGGCGGCGGCGCCTTAAGCGATTTTACCACTTTCCGCTTACCAGATTTGGTAACAACTGTTTTAAAGCCGTGGTTATCCTCCTCTGCGTCCGAGGTAGGCGGCGTCGTGTCTGACTCGGAAGTCGGAAGATTCGGCTTCCGAGCTGATTAGCGAGCAATCCATGTCGCATGGACTGCTTTGTTTTATAGCGGTAGTTGAGGGGTACACTTCGATGAACTCTTTGTACGCGTCGGGATATTTCTTTTCTAGATATTTAAGGAGGGCCTCTAAACGGCCCGAAATATGGACGCCCATGATGGGCGACGGACTTTGGGGTATCCTCCCTGCAAGGCAGGGAGGTGTGTTAACCTACTTGATTTTAATCTAGACCCTGTTATTAGGTAACAGGGGTGTACCTACTTCCCTATCGACTGTGTAAGTACCTTGGGTGGCAGGACAACGGCTACTATTCGACGGTGGCTGCTACCCTTTTCTTGTTCACTGCTTATCGACGCCGGACACGTCGATCTCTAACCTCTTCTTTAAGTTTGGATCACAGGTCATTATCACCATCGGAACACTTGGATTCGCACGACTGCACCGTGCGGAGGCCCAACTGCAATCGATCGACACGGCCGGTCGGCCCGATATTTATAACACTTCGTGCTATTCAGTAGTAGCGAGGCGTCACCATTCAACCAATTGTTTGTGTGAGCTTTTTTATTTAATTATCATAAATAGATAGATAACAGACTATTCCAACCACATAAATATGCGTTTTTTGTTACAATTTAATATTTGGCTCTAAATGTATCTGTAAAATTATCTACTGTTGACTGTAAAGATATTTACAAAGCTATTTACAAAGTACAAACCTATGTATATACATTTCACTTATATTTATCATCTTATTCTATCATATTATTTAACTATAAGTCATCCCGCACAGTTACACTAACCGAATCATTCTCCTCTTCATATAATTCTATGTTTCATCAATACTTGGTTCATTGTTAGTTTTCATCTAACACTTGATGATCAGCCGTCATCTCCTGATGGATGAATCTCGAGTACAGTCCAATAACACCATCTGTAAAACATAATACAATATTGTTCTTATATAAAGATATACAAAAATAATTACTTCAATTATTGTTTAATGATAAAAGTATTCGTAAGTAAATCAGAAAGCTGTAACGTATAATGTATGTGTGTTTCAAATAGTCAAATAGCAATAAGAAGTTATGTAAAGTATTTAATATTTTGAATTGTTTTATCTTTTACGTATCTATTCGTATATTTTATGTAAAATATAAATCGGTCAACATATATAACTTAACCGCTTAACCGATTGTGATGAATTTTGTAAGGAAAATCTTTGTTTTTCAGGAAAGAAGTTACAAACATACAAACCAACATCCAAGTAAAGCTAGAAATACTTTTAATAAATCAGAAAGTTGTGATAGGCCAGTGCAGAATCCTTTAAAATTAATGAAAAGTGAAAATAAATTATAGTAGATCGAAATTCATTAGAAAAGGAGGGGAATATTATAAAAAATAAAGGAAAAATAATTAACGGGCGATCTGAAGTCGGGTACGGTATGGGGTGGGTATTTAAGGGTAAAAAATGGATTTTCTCGATTTCCGACATAATTAAGTTTTACAGAAAACAGTTAAACAGCAAAGTTGTAGGTAATAAAAGGATCTAAAACTTTTGGTCTTACATTTTTTTCACAAACCTAAAATTTTATGTGGAAATTGTAAAAACTCAGATTTTGGTTTTATATTTTTATCTCATACAAAAAACAATATTTTGCCACGAAATTTAATGAAAATTTATTTTTTGATTTCCCAAATACACTGTAATTTATTTGATTAGAAATATTCAGTTTTTCAGCTTATTTTGAATAAATATCGAAAAATCAGTATCATTTTCAACCGAAAAATCACCCGTCAAAATATCAGCTATTTTCAAAAATTTTATGTGTTTTCTGTTCGTTGAAATCTCTATTTTCCGATAGTGAAGTAAAAAATATAGGTTTGTTACTTGCAGTACCATTTTTGAATAAAATAATCATGCCCCTTTTAATGAAATGACACTCGATATCGTTTGGAAAATGCTTTTTCAATTTATTTTTAATAGTTTTAGCAGCTTAATGACAATTTTCTGTAAATTAACTAAGGGACTATCTAGAGAACATCCAGAGTATACAACTACATATTAAAAATAAATTAGAAAGAGCATTTTCAAAACGATATCGAGTGTCATTTCATTTAAAGAGACATGATTATTTTATCCAAAAATGGTACTGCAAATAAGAAACTTATATGTTTTTCTTCAACATCGGAAAATAGAGATTTCAACGAAGAGAAAACACAACATTTTTGAAAATAGCTGATATTTTGACGGGTGATTTTTCGATTGAAAATGGGGCTGATTTTTAGGTATTTACTGAAAATAAGCTGAAAAAATAAATATTTCTAATCAAATAAATTACAGTGTATTGTAACATCAAAAGGAAAGTTTTCACCAAATTTCGTGACAAAATATTGTTTTTTGTAAGAGATAAAAATAAAAAACCAAAAACTTGGTTTTTCGAATTTCAACATAAAATTTGAGGTAACGTGAAAAAAGTGTTAGTACAAAAGTTTTAGATCTTTTTATTACCTACAATTTTGCTATATAACATTTTTCTGTAAAACTTTTAGTTTTGTCGGAAATCGAGAAAACCCATTTATTACCCTTAAACAAACTTACAAACTTATTATTTTTCAAATCCCTACTAATATTATAAATAGGAAAGTAACTGTCCGTCTGTTAAGTTTTAATTACTAAGCCGTTGAACCGTTCGTGATGAATTTTAGTATGTATATAAATGAAGCCCGGGAAACTGACTTCGGCTACTTTTTATCCCGATTATCCGATTACATAATGCCGATTACCCGATCCCGAAAATTCACGGGTTGAACCATGAAGTGGAAGCAGTTCAGGTTCAGTGGCCTTAGTGACAGAGAACAACTGTGATGTACACGCGGACGGAGCCGCGGGCAGCAGCTAGTTATTATTATAATTATTATTATTTATTTCTGACAGTAAGTAACAAACATACAAAATAACATACAAGTGATGCTAAGAAAAAAGAGTTAGAAATATTTTTAGCAAACCGGAAAGCTGTAACGTATATACATTTGTGTTTCAAATAGTCAAATAGCAATATGAAGATACTTAAAATATTTAATATTTTGATTTATGTTACATTTCAGCTCTCCATTAATATATGTTATTTAAATAAATCTTTTAATAATTGATTTACTATCTTTCATTTATTTATTAAATCATTATGACGTGTCCAAAACATTCAGTTAATGTAATAAAAATAAAAGTGTTGAATAAACGAACTCAATATTCTCCCTTACTATTAATAATAACAGAATAATATTAAATATTCAACAGTACATACCGTCACACTACTATCGTCCATCAGCTACATACACTTCTCTTCATAGAAGGTTTCCTCTCGTCCGCAGACCACGTCCTAACAGACGCTCCACCAACAGCTTCGACCCTCATCTTGAATTATATATTCTCACGAGTCCTGGAACCTTAAAAAACCTTACATATAAAGACTATCCACTTCCTAATAAATAATTAGTAAAATTAAAGACAGTACATATTTACGGGAGTGTGATCTAGGTTTTTCAAAGCATACCCAAAAGGAATTTACCTAAAAATACCTACCTCATTGTCCATGGATTATCGAAATTTGAAACAATAAAATTAACAAGCCTTGTTCCCATATAGTATTTAAAAATCATTTAAAATAATATATGTGCCTACCCTCTAGTAGACGTAATAATGACTAAGATATTAAACAATGTTTTATGTGAAGTAATAATTGTATTATAATAAGACGTGTAAAGAACTCACCATGAAATAAAACAGAGGACTGAAGAAGACGCCAGAGTCATGAGGAAGATCGCAGCTGACTGTGACCAGAGGAAGGAGGAACATGAGTGAGTGTATATTTGTATTTCATTTAAAAAAATATTTTTAGAGTATCTTCATTGATTTGCTATATTGATCCACGTTTTGTGTTACCAGCAAGATCAATTAACGATTGCGTCAAATCGAATCATCTCGCAGTACTTAATACAACTATAAGTATTTAAACAAAAAAAAAAAATTTGTTTTTAATAAGTTTCGTCATTTAAAACATTTTATAAACTGAAATATGAAGAATAATCATATCTGTTTTCGATCGATTTTTAGGGATTTTTTTCTATTGCAACACTAATAAAACAAAAAAATACAAATTGACATTGATATGTCACAGACTGATTGTTTACATTCGCTTTGTTTACCTACATTGAGAGTGTTGATTTATTATGGATTTTCTTTCAACGATTGTTTATTCATTATGGACTCCGACCTATCTTTTTCCAGTGACCCCTGCACATCTAGGAACCCCGAATTTCGCTCAAACGATGACCCTGGCTTTTGTATTATGGACTCCGATCAAGGCATAAACGATGACCAACGTCCAACACTCACGTAATATGGACCCCGAAACTAGCTCCATCGCTAACCACGGCTTTAATATGGACATTGAAAAAAACCAAAGCGTGTCTCATGATAGTCTGCACACAGAAGAAGTGACTTCTTACCAATCCGTATCTCTGAGATGCATAAACTGTGGAACTGATTTGATAGAGCGAAGGCGACATAGTCTAGATCTTAATCAGGTTCAGTGTATTATAAGACAGTGGATAGCTCCTCGACGAGTAAGTGAAAATTCAATTAATTATTTAAATTACTCGTTTTTTAATAGATATGTATTGTATATGCTACTCCTATAATGCAATATGAGATTTTATTGTTTTATATAATTATAATCCTTATATACTGTTGTATTATAATAAATGAAAAGATGTTTACTCCTAACACATTAGCTGACTTTGTTATCGAAAATAATTTAAATAGAAGGCGGTCAGATTTTCAACCTATAAATGTAAACATGGACAGTTTCATATTTCCAAGAATAGAATATAATGATCTTATATTAATTGCATGTGGAACATACCAATTAAAACAAGCTTGTTCGTATTATGGGCAGCACACAAGAGGCGATGGTTCCTATACTATAGAAATATGTAGAAATATTGCCAGCGACCTATTGGTTGACTACCTGATTCCTTCGGCCAACTGCAGATTATTGCATGGAAAAATACAAAGCAGGCATGTAAGTCGATAAATATATTTTATATATATATATATTATATGAAAATAATCACAATGGTAAGGAAGCTATAAAAGAATATTATTGTAATTGCATGGTTGGCCGAAGGACAGTGGGTTGCTGCGCTCATATAATGACTATTTTATGGTTTTTAAGTTGTGCAAGGTATCAGGAACACATTTCACCACCTGTCCAATTTCTTGAACACATATTAATAACATATGATGTCTCAGAATAAAGATAAATCATAGAAAAATGTTGTTTTATTTTGCTTTAACCTGTTTTTCCTCACATGACAAAAATCTCTTTTAAAACATTTTGATACAAAATTAAGTTCATATTCTCATTATTACTAGTTAGTGCTTTTAAACTAATTACAAAAAATATGATGTCTGTTCACGTCAGGCCAAAGTCCCCGTACTAAGTGGACAATCTCCTTAACCTTTTGATGTCTCAAATATACTGGAATTTATTTGATGAGAAATATTAATTTTTTCAGCTTATTTTGAATATATATCGAAAAATCAGCCTCATTTTCAATCGAAAAATCACCCGTCAAAATATCAGCTTTTTTCAAAAATTTGGTGTGTTTTCTGTTCGTTGAAATCTCTATTTTCCAATGGTGAAAAAAAAAATAAGTTTCGTACTTACAGTACCATTTTTGGATAAAATAATCATATCTCTTTTAATGAAATGACACTCGACATCGTTTTGAAAATGCTCTTTCCAATATATTTTTTATAGTTGTGTACTCTGGAAGTTCTTCAGATAATCCCTCTTTTAGGTAATTTACAGAAAATTTACATTAAGCTGCTAAAACTAAAGGACTAAACTAAAAGCTAAGTATAAAACTAAAGCTAAAGCAATGGACTGACTGGCGGGGCAGTAGACTGTAGAAGTGTTCTGGGCTCAAAACCTCTAATGCCTAACATATTTGGTTATTCAGTACAGACTAATTTTATTAACTTTTGACATAACATTTATCATTATATCATAAAGTTTACATTCCAGAGAATAGATGTCGCTAGTAGTATATTTATGTATTTCGATACAATTAACTAACACAGGATACTAATAATTATAAAATTGAATCAAATCTAGTATTATACATATTAATTAATGAAAAACTTGTATGAAAACTCATGAACACGTTAAGTAAAATAAACTTAACCAAACAAATAAAATAATTTATTTTACATTTATGTTTTGTAATCTTACATTAAAGATTGTTTTCTTATTGTGGTCTTACAACTACTATTGGTAATCTGATGCACCACACAGATACAGCATTTTTATCCTCCACTCTGAATTCAATTGTCACTGGAATCTATATACAGAGGAAATTAAATTAGACGAAAATAATTAATTTTTATCATTAACTGACTTTTAATATCAAACTTACCGTCGGGAACCAAGGTTCTATGAACATTTTCAGAGAATATTCAACAATTTCTCCTTCCAAAATCGGACAATAGGAATTGTTTAGGAAATTACATGTGACTTCATTTGGACCTAAAGGATAATTGATGGGTATCGGCATCAAAGCTACCGCTCTCGTCTTCATGTCGTAGAGTAAGTATATAAGCTGAAACAATTAATTAACATCAAAAGAAAACCACTTATTCTAGTTATCTATATATACAAAACAAAGTTGTGTTAGTTACACTATTTATAACTCAAGAACCGCTGTAGGGATATGGTTGAAAATTGGTGGAGAGATAGATTAGAACCAGGAGACGGACATAGGATATTTAATTCTGTTCGATCGAAAAACAAAAAAGAAACTTAATAAATTCCAATATATGGTTATTTAAGGCATTTATTGCGGAATGTGGTTCGCCCGGTCAGCTTTACATGTATTACTAATTCCGAAATTAAAGCGGACGAAGTCGTTAGCAAAAACTAGTGACATATACAGGGTGACTGGTGAATTACTATCAATATTTAAGGAGAATACTCGGTACATGATTCTCATTCGAATTATGTAAAAAAAATAGGTACTTAATTTTTGACCAAATCTCCGTATAAATAAATAAAGCGTGGACACGTTCCAAGTGATCCAAGTGTGGACGCGTGCGGCGGCGTGCTGATACAACACCACGCCGCCGCACGCGCGTGTGTGTGTGTGTGTGTGTGTGTATACCTAATCTGTAGGGTGTTCACACGATGCGTAATTAATTACATAACTTTTGGTTAACTTTACTTGGAAGTTTATTAATATTTATGTTATATTAATTTTTATTTTGTCATATATGATCGTCAAATATCACGTCCTCAAGTATCGATAGTAATTCACCAGTCACCCTGTATAATGAAGATTCATTGATATACGCTTAACTAGTTTTATACTCACGAGCTTTAAATATCACTCGAATTTCAACATCTTGGTTTTGTGGTAGAGAGCATGGCAATTCTGATCAGCCCACCACGTAGGCATTGATTGGTAGTGACCCGTTGCTCGCCTGACCTGATGCAAAAATAATAATAAATATATCATTATATATACTAGTATATGTCTTTATATACTTAGAACAATATTAATAAAGAGATTGTGTTGGTAACGAAGTAACAGTAATAATAATATTCATATTAATTTCGTTTTTAATATTGGCTCAGTGATAATTAAAAATAGAGAACCAATAGTTGTATCATCATCATCAGCCTATCAGAGTCCACTGCTGAACAAAGGCCTCTTCTCACATGGAGAAGGTTTGAGCATTAATCACCACGCTTGCTCAAGACGGGTTGATGATTTCAAACTTATAATTTGAAATTATAAGTCCAGGTTTCCTCACGATATTTTCCTTCACCTTCTGTCAGTGGTATCTAAATACTCTTAGAAACTACATATGACTCGGAAAAATCACATTATTGCTTGCCAGGATCGAACCAGCGCCCTCATGCATGAAAGGCGGGCATTTTAACTAGGCCACCACTGACTATGACTATACAATTATATATATCATTCTTATTAAAAATTAGTTTCAAGTCATATACTTGCATTGCGCAACTGGCGTTGATTGTCCGTGAGTAGTTTCCAGATAGAAGAACGCGAAACACAAAATCACAAACCGATGCATTATAAATGAAAATAATTAAAAAACCATAATCTCTGATTTTAGCCCATTTATATTTACACTATCTTATCACATGATAATAATTCCTAATGAGCTCGATTTGTGCTTACATTTAGTTTCCATCGTCACTACATAAAGAGTTTCGACAGTTTTTTTTTGATTAATCTTCACAGATTAAGGTATTAGTGAATGAGAAACGAGAAACACATCGTACGTAGTGTGACGATGCTAACTTGTGGTAAGCGTATTGAACAGATTAGTCAGAAGTAATCTGATCAAATGACCGTTTAACTTCATACACCTGGCTAAATTTTATTGATAAGGTTATCGTCGATGTGTCAATTATAAATCTAATGTACATTTGATCATATTATCTCAGTTGCCTTGTAACCATTTTTTAATATGTATAGTCATTCAAAAAGTCAGTGGTGGTCAGTGGTGGTTAAAGGGTCCGCCTCTCGTTGCCGAGGGCGCGGGTTCAAACCTGGCAAGTGCCAATGTGATTTTTCGGAGTCATATGTACTTTCTGAGAGTATTTAGACACCACTGACATACGGTGAAGGAAAACATCGTGAGGAAACCTGGACTTATAGTTTCACAATTATAAGTTTGAAATCACCAACCCGTCTTGAGCAAGTGTGGTGATTAATGCTCAAACCTTCTCAACGTGAGAAAGAGGCCTTGCTCAGCAGTGGGCGTTGATAGGCTGATGACGATGACGATAGTCATTCAAATTATCAAAATAATTCTCATTACCAAAATGCGTTTCGGTACGTCCAATGAGTGACAAACCATTCCCTATTGCCACCTTTTTCTGTCCTTTTATTTCTTTCCCTCCCTATTCCTGAAAATACAAGGTTAGCAAAGCATCTCTGTAGCTGATGTCTATGGGTGACTTAAGTACAGCAGACCAAGTAGGCCATCTATTCATTTATATAATATGATAAAAAACGAGTAGTATCCCAGAAAAATTCATATTTTTACTGGGATAATTATAAATTTTAATGAAACTCGAAGAAATGCATAGTTTTATTTTATACATAAACACACTTTCTATTTATTACTTAGCATAAAAACATAGTCTTTTTATTAAATTTTCATTCTGTATCTATAACTTCTATTATTTATAAATCAAATGTCCACAATCAATACAATGTCATTACACGTTGTTGCTGTTTGAAAAATTATCAACAGGTATTTCTTTGATAATGTAAAGATAATATATCTTTTAGAATAAGATTTAATTCAGTTTAATATATTATTATAATAATAATTTAATTTAATAGTAATATAATATGTATTAATTATAATCGTTTTAATTAAATCAGAAGTTTAATAGACTAGTTTATTATTGATGTATCATTGTGTAATGTTTAAGTGTACTGTTAGCCCGGAGAATTAAAATCACTTTTTAAAAAAAAAGATAAACTGATTTATTTAATAATTAAAGGACAACCGCTCATTACAAGATCTAGGTGAAGACTAACTAAATGAAGGGGTTCTAATTAATGTTCTAATGATAAATGCTGACCTGTCTATTATAGAATTGCATTTACGCAATTACACTTACAATCCTAGGTTATAACACCTCCCCCTTTAAGAAGAGGCTTTGGGGTTGATTCCAAAGTCTCGTTTTATATCCTAGTTCTAAGTGGGGCTACTGGACTGGATATTTCAGTATCAATTTCTGTTCTGTCTATAGTTTCCTTAATTTCAGGGGTTGTCAAAGTTACTGCTTGTTTCTTCTTAAAATATTGGAATGGGCGGTTGTTTAGTTTAATACAACAAATCTTAATGGCTAAATATAATATGAAAATAATTATAAATGAAAGTATTATATTAATGAAAATTGAGTACTGTGTCCCATATTCCACAATATGAGGCAATTTCCTTGTTTCGATTTGATGTAAATTATTTAATATAGATTTTAATTTATTTCCAGAGTGGAAATTGTCTAAGTCTATATTGTGTAAACGAATAGGAGACACATTACCGATTACAGAATTTACTCTATTTAAGTTACAACAAGTATCATTAATTAAATTAAAATCTGGCACATGATTAATTGGCGATTTAATCTGTAGAACATTATGTGTAGGTACAAACGTGGCGCTATTACTATATCCAATACAATCTTTTGGGATGTTAAGAATTCCCGTTCCTAAAATATTAGTTTCATATAGTTTTGAATTAATACAATCAATAGACACTTTTTGGGGTTCGGATTGTACATACAACCAATTATTGTTTGTTAATGATTTCCATAGGTTTAGGTTTCCGTATAAGATTTTCGTCTCGCACTGTATCGGTTTTTCACTTATCACTTTAGCTAATAGCTCACTTTCACAAATAGGTTTTGCATCCGTAGAATACACATTCTGGAGGTCACAAATGAAGTTTCCTGTGCCTACAGACTTACACACTCCAAGATCATTAAACACACAATAATGCGATTTGTCTATGGTCATTGCTATATACTTATTTTCAGGAATTATTAAAGTAAATGAATTAGGTTCCTTAGGATTATGTGGCGTCGGAATAGCTATATTATGGAATAATACGTATTCTTTCGTGTTAACTAGCGGTACCTCTAAGACAAATACAATCTTATCTCTAATGTAAAAACAAACTGTTTTAGATATACTTAGAATTAAATGTATAGAATCAATATTTAATGCTACAGGTAATTCTAGATCATTAGACAAATGTCTGTAATTATCGACAAGCTCTTGATATAACTGCTTAGGAGTTATAACTGATGGGTGGAGAACATTTTGACTACTAAACATTATAGCGTTAGTGACATCTTCCAGTTGAAAGGACAGAGTAATTATGGCAGTTTCTATAGCGTTAAAAACTTCGTTAACATTAATGAGGATCTGCAGACCGTTAGTTAATTCAGTAATGTTTTTTATACTTAAAGAGAGCTTGTCAATAGCTACAACGAGATTATTCTCATTTTCTCTAATCTTAAATAAACTATCATTATGTATCTTTAAAGTAGAAGAAGTAACTAGGATATTTTCTTTCATCAACGTGGCTAACCGTTTTTCATCATTTTGTAAAGTCGTTATGGCTTCATTATACCTCATACCATCATTCTCGTCCAATGAACCGAATATGTGTTTCATTGCTGTTCCTATGACACCTATCCAGGCACTGCGCTTGGATCTATTGTCTAGAAGATGGGAAATAGCAGAGAACTCCTTACTCATATCTTGGAATCGCGCCGATATCGGTTGTAATAAATTATGACATTCCTGATCTATTTGTTCAATTCTGGTTTGTTTACAAAGATATTTCAAGGTTTCTAAGGTATTTTCAATATTTTTGATGTGTGGTTTAAAATGGGAAATATCTACTGGAATTACAACTTGTAACTGGACATTATTGATTTTCAAATTTCCTAAGTAGTCGTAATAAAGACCTGAACTTGAAGTAATCGGCTGGACGTAGTTCCGCTGGGGTTCTCCCCGTGTAACACTGT